CTGAATTGCTGTTGAATGGCTGGGTGTGGGTAGATTGTAAAGCACCCATTTGTGTTTTATCTAGCACTTTATAAGATTTTTCTGTTCCCTTGCTAATGCCCAATAAACTGAAAATTCAGAGACTTACTCTTAATTTCTCAAGTAAATTTGTATGGTGTTTTGATTTTGAAGAACAACTTATGCTGTCTCAAACGCTTGCTCAGAATTTATTAATCATTGGATAAGATAGCTAGCCTTGCAGTTATTTAAAATACAGTTTCCCATTTTGATTTAGCATTGTCTTACCAGCTTTTCACTGCAATTAAGTGATGTATAGTAGCATTTTGAAGGGTAGTGAAAATGTTTGTATAAATCACCTGAAGATGTAACCTAATCAAATCTCTCTGGTTCTAACTTAAAGTGACTATTTTGTCCTTGTCTGCTTTGAAATGCCACTTGCTCCCCACAAAGGTGGCTGTGATGGTGTTTGCATCTCTTTCCTTACCGAAATTCTGCAGCGTTGTTCTTAGCTGGTGTTTTTCTGCTGTGCTGGTTTTGGCTTGGATAGGGTTGGTTTTCTTTGCAGGAATCTTCAGGAATCTTCAGGAATTCCTTAAAGGGAGTATCCGTGGGATTTCCATACTTCTCATTTTGTTTTCTTTTTTCACCTCACTAGATCTCTGTTTAATCTCATCTATAAATCAAAATTGAACTCTCCAGAATTCATGAGAGGCAAGCATTTTAATAAGCCTTTACCTACTTTTGCTACAGCAAACACTGATCTGTGCTGGTTTATTCTTGGAGGGGAGATTTTGACTTGGATCTGTTTGGCTTGGTGAAAATTGCATCTGAATTCCTGAATTTTCTAACCTATTTTTGTTGTGCCAGTGTCTTTATGGGAGACCTGTATATACGGATGTGTATAGATCTGTTAGTTATGGAACAACAGTTTATCTTGCTAGCTTTAATTGAAATGACTCTTCATACTAGACGAGCTAAAATTGAATGTTTAGTCTTATTTTAGAGAATCAACAAGATGGGCTCTTGACTGCAGGAGAGGTTAACTAAGGCAATGAAGGTAATTTTTGGAGAATATCTGGAAACCCTGGTGTTTGGGTTTTTTTTTTGTAGTTGTTACTCGAGGTTTTTAGTGTGCATTTCAGGCATAAAAATGAGCAAAACTTCAACAGCCCATATTGTGGGTGCCTTTTCTTAGAAAAGGACTTCAAAGGTACTTTTGGGGCTGATGAGCCCCTTTTTCCTGTTCTCATCAGGCCAGTCAGGGAAACAATACTGTGGCCTATCTTGCTCATGATGTTCCTCTGCTTCTCCTAATTTATTTTTAAGTATTCTATTTAATGCAAATATAAGTATATAATAAGTATAATACAATATTCCTTCTAGCCAAGGAATTAGGAATGAAATCCTTTGACGTTTTAATTAATGCTTTGATAATTTATACTTTTAACTACCCTTTCTACCTGTTGGTCCCATTTTTAAGAAGTTTAGAATTTTTGAAATGATAGGTTAAAGAAATACCCTCACTGCATTCTCCAAAGTTTACACTTGCTAAGTTTACACTTACTAAAGCAAGCTGGGCTTGCTTTAGCTTTTCATGATCAGGAAACATAATTTATTAATGTAGTTAGCAGAGCTTGTATTCAAGCACTTTACCCAGACTACTGGTTTGTAACATTTGTGTGCTATACAGATTCACTGTTTGCAAATAATAGTTAAATCTCTTTTCACTTTTCAAACTTGTGTCCTTGTGTCTTCTTTATACGTCCCATTGTGAATCTCTAGCTATCAATTTGTATTCTACTTGGAAAAAATGAAGCTATTAATTTTGCCCTGCTGTTGTGTTCTGTCTCATTCCCTTCAGATGAGGAGGAGGACTGTACCATCTGGCACGTAGACTTCACTTTGGGCCTTTTTCTAAATGTTTGAGTTTGATGTGTGGCCAAATCTTGCAGATGCTTTCTTTGAGACCTTTGTTAGATATGGCCTATCATAGCCATTACCACAGTTAAAATGTTCTCATTTTGTATCTTAATTTCAGTAATTCCTTTTTCTTGGCCAATGATATGTTATCTAGTCATTTAGAATATTCTGCAAGATCATTTCCTGGTTTGTAAAATCAAACTGTATTTATGTATCTTACTTGCTTTCTTTCTGTCCAAAATTTAATTGTCCTTGCCTTTAAACTTTTCATGGCTTAAGTGTATCCTCATATCATCCTTCATCCCAAGATACCTATTCTTGCTATTAATTGGCTCATCATGAGTCCATGTTGGCCAGCTGTTAGTTTTCTTTCTACAAAATTGCTGCATTCCTTATAAACCTCTATTTTAGAAAATAATTTTTCTCCTCCAAAGCTCTCCTTAAAGTCTTTTTGCTGTGATGGCTACATAAAAGCTGGACTAGCCTTATCTCCTGGTGTGCTAAGAATTCTGCCTGTTGAGCTGACCAATGTCAGATATTCAGAAAAAAGGACTGGAGGGTAACTATTCATGTCTTTTAGCTGATCTTCAGTAACTCTGATTGTGCCCTTGGCCTATGGGCAGTGCAAAGGAATTGGAGTTAAGATTGTTGTCCTTCATTGACTGCAAACTACGATTTTGTATAGTTAAATATTTATTAATGGTTGAAACTCTTTCTTGTACTAAAACTGCCCTTTTTCACCAAGAGCAGATGTATCATGAATTACCTTGAATCACTGTGGGCTGGGAATGGACACTCACCTGGCACTCACCTGGCATAACAGTGCCCATACATTTCACAGCAGACTGCCTGAAATTCAGGAGGCATAAGGTGCAATATTTGTAAGTCGGGAGAAGGACTGAGAAGTACACAAAATTCAGAAACATAATTTCACCTTGATTTTTCACTTTCAGTTTGTTAGTTTCTACGATCTTGTGTGCTTTAATTTCTCTGCTGTAGTAAAGGATGTGCTCCCCTGACCGTATAGTATTCTTGATGGTTTTTTAATAGAAGATGAGGCATTTGAGGATATGATTTCCAATATGATGGTGGCATTTTCTTCCTTAAAATTTGTCAACCTTTTAACCTGCTGTTTTGTTTGTCCACTCTCTATTCTTTCCTTCCTGGGAAGGAGAGTTTGAGAAAAATTGTAAATTGTGAGCTTGTCTTTGTGGACTTATGTAAGCATGCCATGGTATGTTAGAGAAATATAGTGTAAATGCTGTCTATCCATCTATTTATCTATCAATTTATTTTTATCATAATTGCATGTAGGTATTTGGAGTTCAAATATAGTCAAAGAAATCCAGTGAGTGAAATCTGGAAGTGGGTTAAAAGTTCCTTTAAAAGCTCAGGAAATAAAAGTAAAGAAAATATATATTTATTTTTCCCAAAAGAGTAATCTCACTGTTGTGTTTTCCAAGCTGCACTTGAAGCTGATATGTGAAGCATAAAAATAATAGTTAGCAATGAAATGTTTTAGGCAATATGCTGAATTTTATTCTTAAAAGGATTTCAAAAGAGTCTCTCTCGAGGTAGTTATTTTTTAGAGGAAAAAGTTAAAGTGAATACATGAGTTTTTAACAAAATTGTTACTGACTTCAGGTTTTATTATAGTAAATGTATTTGTTCTTCCTTTTTTTTTTAAATGAAACTATATTATATGCTCAACATTTACTATTGTGGAAAAACCATACTACAAACATTAGTGTTAATAGCTTAGTATTTTAGTCCTTTACACATTAATGCCTGTGGTAACTGGATGATTTTAGGCCTGTTCTTATGAACAAGGCCTTACTGATGTGCAAGGAACAGTAATGTGTGGCAAAAACTCCACGTTAACCAAGGTAAGCAGTATAAATAGGGTGTAGGAATCCCCTGTTAGACTAAAAATCTCCAAGAGAAAATCTCCAGAGCCTACAAATTAAAGACCTCCAATATCATTTAAAAATAAAGCCTTTTATGTAGTAGGAGAGCATTTTTTTCAGCTGATAATCAAATGACACTATTATACAGGCTTACTAGATTTGCAAATTTACAAGTTTTTACAAGTCAGTTGGGTCCCTTCCTCAGGAAATCAGTTTAAGTTTTTTTTTCCTGTATTGACTCAAAGAGCCTGGTTGTCCTTAAATCCTTCTGAATATATTTGCCTTATAATTTGACTGCATTGGGTCAACAGCCTTATAGAAACCGTAATGCAATAAAAAAAAGAGAAACTGTTCAATATAGTTTCCAATTACCTTAGGATCAGATTTGGAGAAACTGGAATGTACACAATAAAACCTGTGCAAGACTTGAGTTCCATGAGGTTTTGGAAGCAACCAATGCTTTTCAACGTAAAATACTGTTTGAAAGCTTTTCTATCCTTTCAGAGGTTGTAAAATGACAAAAATGGAAATATGTGTGCGTCTCAAAATGTGCATTTTACTTTTTTTTCATTTTCTGAGCCATACCTTTATGGAATTGAAAGCTTGATATATAAGTAACTAAGCATCACTGTTTTTACTCAGTTAATTTTTTTATTATAGGGAATGCTTTTGCTTTGCCATGTTCTGCAGTAAAATTCTTTATAACTCATTTACATTTTTTACTTAGGAAAAATATGTCGATTCAGATGTGCTCAGTGAACTTTTATTTTGTAAAAGTCTTTAGGTTACACTGGAATCCCCAATATGTATCGTACTTGCAAACAGAATATACAATACTTAGTTCTGTCTTGTTTTTGTATGTCGTTAGCAGTAAAGTTATTACAAATTGTTTTAGTGTATCCAGAAACAAATTTGTTCTTTTTTTGAGATACGAATTTGTTGCTTTTGTCCATACAGTTTTAATTGTGTCTTCATTTTAGTTTTGCAAATAAAATGAATCTGATGTAATTAATGACCTTTATTTTGGCAAATGATTATAAAAAGAAACTTGCATTTGCATATATCTATAAAGGAAAATACTACATCTGATGTGTTTTCAATGAATAATTTCTAAGACAGGTAACTAAATGGGCTCCAGTGTAATAATTTTTCCTTTCTTCAACTTGTTTTTAGTTGACTTGGAGCATATGCGCACAGTGAAATCTGACAAGCACCAGCGATTTTGTCAGGAAAACAATTTCAGTAGCCATTTTGTGTCAGCCAAGACAGGAGATTCTGTAAGTAAGAAAAAGAAACTTCTAGATGTCTTTTTTTTCAAGATGCAGCAGTTTTATTGTACTTCACATAACGAGCCTTTGGGAATTTGGGCTGCTGCAGGTCCTTTTTTTGCTTCCCTAGTTGCATGAAAAGTAGATCTTTTTATGAGTGTATATTATCATTATTAAATTGCAGTGGCTCCTTGTCTGATTTTCAGTTTGAAATACAGATTTTAATGGAAATGGTCTAGTTTACACGTCAGTTTGAGAACCAAGACCAGCTAAATCTCTGTTTGCTGTCAGCCTGTAGTTAAATATATTCATTCCAGGTGGAGTCCTATCTACAGACCATCAATATAGCAACTTCCAACAATTGCTAAATAATGTGACAAGACCCTATTGCAGTCAAGGTTTTTAATATGAGTCCTAAGCCATGAGAAACACTCCCTCTGCAGGCCCATTGAAATCTGAACATTCTGGCATTCGTACCAGATGCTTTGCAGAGTGCATTTTTGAACAGTCTTTTCACTCTGAGCTAACTGGGTTATTTGTTTTTGTTGGACGCATATGAATTAAAGTGTTCCTTTTCAGTTGACACTATCAGTCAAATTAAATCATATTGTATTATTTTGCTTGATTTCTGTCACTTGCCTAATATGTTTGTCATTCCCATAAAAGAGCCTTGTATCTGTCTCCTTAATATTACTGTTGACAACAAAATTTACTTTGTTTTTATGTTACTGAAGAGTAAGACCATGTTCAATTACATGGAAGTATAGTTCTGTAAAACAAATGGAATCACTTGTTGTTTTAAGGTCTTTGATGAAACTTCTGCAGTGGACTGCCTAATTTTATAATAGTTTTTCTGTAAAGTGTAACAATACTGCCGTTATAAATGCAGTGAGTCCTGATTCTCTGTATAGTTAGTGTTAAATCTTTGGCATAATTTTTTGTTTAAAGTGGGAAAATCCAGGCTTTTTATACTAGAAACAGAAGGAAAATTTTATAATACTTCACTCAATGACATGCGCATCTAATAAAATGTATACTTTTCTCAAGGAGATAACCTTTCTGTGGGATTTGGTGATAAAGACAAAAATCAGTTCATTTTATAACGTTGACATATTTATCATTACAAGTTATGAAGGAATCTTCATTTCATCTTTTTAATTGATTCATGAATTACAGCAGCATTCCACTATATATACTTACTGTACGTTTCCTAATTTACTGTTTAAAAACAAAAGTAAATCTGAACATACCCAGAAAGCATTAACCAGAAATCTCTGCCTAAATATCTACTAACAAAAGAAGTAGTTTACAGTAGCTAATTTTTAGCTTCAGTGTAAATTTGAATTAGCCCTTTCACTATTACTGCACACTGACTTCTCAAAATCTTTATGTCTTTTGATAGTTGTGCAGGAAAGGATGGGGGTTTTATCCTAGACACTGATTTAAGAGGAGGCCAACCATTGCTCATGTGAATATAGACTAGAGGACTCTTACTCAGTTAAGATAAATGGTTTGTTTTGTTCGCCTCAGATCTTTCCAGCAGATTTGTTTGCAAAAAAAAGGTTTTATGTACATATAAAACCCCAAAAGTCTCCTCAGGGGAGAAAAATTTTTATGAAAGATTTAATATAGCTATCTTACTATCCATCAAATCACATAACCAAAGCACTGAACTTGAGCCTGATGTTTTGTGCACAAAATGTCCTCAGGGCAGGTGATATGTCTCCGAACACCTGAGATCTTGGTGTGGGTTAAAGTAGGTCTCTGGACCTCAGAATCTCCGTTCAGTATTTCCTCTAATGTTGTGTGGATTTTAGGACAGACCAGTACTAGACCATGTAGTTCAGAGAAAGAGCAATTGTTTTGGAAGCTACCACAGTTTGTTGGCTGTGCCACTAATTTGTTACTGGTTTCCGTCTCGGATAGAAAAGATTGTGAAAATGTTATTTACAGTATTTTCTCTGAAAATTTGAAAATGACTGAGAACACATACTCAGGCTTTACCTTTTGGGGGTGGCAGCTGCATGATGAAAACTAATGTTTGTTAGTAGTTTAGATCGTGAGCTCAGACGAACAGCCCTGTAGATAAAATATAACGTGTAGCTTGACAATAAGGGTTCAGCAGCAGTGCAAGCTTAAGCTGCTCCTCTTGAACATATGTTGTGTTCTTTAATCTCGTTTAAATGCAATTGCCTAAACAGTAAGATAGGTGGACTGGCTTGAGATGAATTAAAGGACTTATTTAAGATAGCATTGCCACCCACTATTATGTGTTAAATGTCCAGAGTCTAACTCTGCTGCAGTGCTGCTGCAGGCCATACAACATCTTGTTTGTTCTTGATACCTCTGTTCAGTGTAAATAATGTTCTGTAAGACTCCTCAGAACTCTTTCGTAATTCTATTTTTTAAAATGTGCGTAGTAGAGATTTTGGTGGTCTTGATGCACAGTTCTGTTGTTGTCAATTTCAGAAATCTCCTTCTCTATTGCACAACACACTAGTAATATATTTTTGTGCTAAACATTAGTGAATACCCTTATTCATATTTTATAGCACTGAGAGTAGTATTTGAGAGGTGGGTTGTGTAAAAGCTTGTTTAAATTTAGGTCTCTGGAGGCAGAGTAGAAGTGTTGCTTAACAATCCAGCATACTGTTCATTCCTTGTACCATTGTTGAATTATTTTCTCAAATTTTTAAACAAAATTGAAAGTACCAGATGAGGTTATTTTCAGATCTGCTTTGCTCAGGTCATAATTTTGTATATCTCATTGTTTACAGTTCAAGTATGGTTTGATATATTTGAAAGAACCTCAAGGATGTCTGTTTTTAATCATTTAAATGCAATTTATTTTTTTTCCATAGGTCTTCCTGTGTTTTCAGAGAATTGCTGCTGACATACTCGGCATAAAATTAAACAAAGCAGAGTTGGAACAATCACAGGTGATTTTTCACAAATACTTCATTTTTCTTAGTATTTTATTTACTATTAAAATAATCTAATTGAAGATTAATTGCCGTCCTTTAAATCACTCTTTGTCTGTTGTTCTGAAGATAATTATTTAATTTCACAACTTTTTAAAAATGAAATAATTCTTTATTCATCCATCATGATGATAAACTTGCTGAAATGAGAAAATTATGTTCAAAAAATTAAGGAAAAACTTGAGTTTTAGGGATTTTTTTTAGAAATAGCAGTCGAGTCTCTATATGTATCATATACAGGTAGCATGGAAGATATTCCTATGTATCCATTAAATACTGTGCATTCATGTCAGACACAGTAATGACAATCCTTCTTTTTCAATTCTATACGCATTTAAAAACAAATCTCAGAACACTACAAATTTAAGTCACAGAAGGCATGAGCTTGTGGGAGTGGAAATGTTCTAAATCAATATTCATTGCAGTCATAGAGTAAAATTTATTATTTGTCAATCAGGAGTTAACTGTGTGAAATCCTTTCTTTGGTTCGTCTTAGATCTTAGTCTTCACTGTGTGCCTGTGCAATACAGGACCTCTGTAGTGACTGTCTGCCTTGGGGGGGACTGTTGGCTTTGTAGCATCACTGTTGCGGAAGTGGAAGTGGAAATGAGAAGTGAATCCTATTCTGGTTCAGTATGCCCATTCTCAAGAACAGACAGAACTGTGGAATCGTGCTTTTGGGTAGCTATTATGGCTCCCTGGCATCTGCAATGATTTTTCTCACTGTACCAGTCCCAAATAGTCTCCCCCTAAAGGAGCTGTATAATTTCTGCCCTTGCGTTTTGTGTTTTGTTCTTGGTATTATGAGTGTTATCTTAGGGGGTTTCTGCCATGTCCTCTGTACAAAAGGGCTGAGAGAGGGGGGAATGTTTCCCAGTGATGGGTAGGAAAGTTGTCAGGAAGGTTGTCCCCCATCTTATACATTGGTTTGTGTTAGGCAGGGATGTAAATATAGGGATTCCACTATAAACCTGCTGCATGTCCTGCTCCAAAGAGGAGGACATGAGCTTTGTTGCAGTTCATGCTGTTCAGTAATTACTGTATGCAAAACAGCTCTAATGAGATCATTGGTTTAGCACCATATAAATTAATTGGAAAAAGATGTTTTCACTATTTTAAAAAATTCGAACTGTAACTGTGTTAAGTAAAATGTGAGCACTTGCTTAACTGTATGTGCAAGAGTTGGAAGTCAACTAGTTTTTGTCAGTGAAATTTAGGAGATGAAAAATGTGTTAATTGTTCAAATAAGCAAGCAAGCAAGAGGTTTTCTAATATAACCCATTTTCCTTTACCACTTTCTTCTTCCTAGTTTCTGCTTCTAAAAATAACTTTTTTGCCAGTAAGAATGTGTGCATAAGTTTAAACCAAGAAGTTTTTCTACAAACACAGTTTCAGAAACCTCAAAAACAAAGATTATGCTACTGAGGCAACCCTGTATAATGACATTTGAGATTGCAATTTTTTAAATTTACTTACTGAACCAAAAGGTTGCTGTTTTAATGGTGTAATATCCTGGAACTGCTAGTTACTGCCAGTATTAAACAAGTACCACAAAATTAGGTCAACAAGTTTATTTAAAATAAAAGGCTTAACATTTCTTGTATACAACTTGGTCTCCTGCTTTTTGAAATATACAATCAATATGTAATTTCTGAAAGTGTTTTGCCACAGCAGTGTTTACAATCTGTGTTGAAGTGGTTAACTAGAAAACTGTATTGCAAACAGTAAAATTGTAAAATGTACTTAAAGAGCATACCCATCAAGCAAAGTAGCTTCAAAAAGCTGTAATTTATAGGTAGAGAAATACTGAGTGTGTCTTTTCAATGATCTAGTACTACTAAGGTACCATCCATCTGTTGTTCTGAGCTCTATGATTATTTGCATATAAATGATTGAGCATCTAGAGTTCTTTAATCATTCCTTGGTCATTTAGCTAGCACTGGAAGATCAGCTTTAGACTTCTCTGTGCTGTGCAGTGGTGTGTTTTGTAACTCAGGTGAAAGGTTGTGGAAAGGTATGCAAATACCTTAAATTTAAAGGAGACTGATAAAAGAGGTTATACAGGAAGTTGTACCTTTCTCAAGAACGTGCCTGTTTTTAGGTTGTTTTTAAAGTAAGAACTTCTACGTAGCTTCGACTCAAGAGTACGTAACTTTTTAAGTCAAATGGATATCAGCTTTAAGTAGGCTTCCTTCTACCTTAGTATTGTAATTAATTTTTAACTTTGTGGAGCACATCAATGGAATATGCAATATGTGGATCAAAGTAAACATTACACAAGTAGCATTAGCAATAACCTATAAATAGTTAATACGCATAAATTAAATGCTCACTGTGGCACACATTACTGTTAATGAGAATTCAGGCTCTAGTGATAAAAAAAGGCAAAAATATCTCTGAAAACCCAAGACCAACGACAACTAAAAATAATAAAACAACGAAAACCACCCAAGCCCCTTTCCCCCCAGCAAACAACAAAAGAAGAAACAGAGCAAGTAAATAGATGTGGACAGGAAAGATACTTCATTGTTGCCTTTCAGATACAGCAGAAGTCACTACGTGGTGCAACACTGTGCATGTAGCTACAGAGTGAGAGCTGGAAAGCAACTGCCTGATTTGCAAAGTTCTGTAAACTGAGCATAATTTCAATAATTTCAATCTGCTCCAAACAAGCAATAACTCTTTGTTACCAGTAAAATGTTCGCTTCCCTAGAGAGTGTTATTTTGAGGGAGCTGTAAGAATTTCCCCCTTTAAGTCAGAAAGCAATGGGAATTTTATTGGGGTATCTATCTGATAGCTGTATCTCAAGGCTCACTGTTATATGGAACCAACTACCCACATCACTTCTTAAGACAGAGATGGGAAAATTTCTAGGTAAAACTGGAGAAGGAAAACTTTAATGTTCATATCCTTGAGGAGAAGACTAGAAGGACATGTCTTTAGTCCGCAGTACAAAAGCCTAACTGAGGTAATATGCAGATGCCGTTTCCCAAAAGCATGGAGCTGGTCTTTTGGCTGGAAGGACGTGGTGTTAGATGATGTTGCCATTATAGATTCCTGGTTTACCACATACTCTTAGATGACAGGTACAGGTACCTTAATGTGGTGGACTTTTTCCCTATTCCATCTATAAAATGGGCACAGGACTTCCTTAAATTGTGGAACAGTTATGTAAATGTGTTCCTTAAAACTTTTAGGCATTGAATACTCTAGCTACTGGACTATAAGGGTCAATAGGTAAGTAGATGGATGCTAGATAAGTGCTATAAAGAACCAAATACAAACAATACAACACCTAGTGTGACTCATTCTTAAAGTATGCAAATATTGATTTTGATTTACTCTTTAAATAAAGATTCAAAGACATCGTAGTGCACGATTTACACACTGGATTACATATTCAAATTTTCTATATTTTTTGTTATGTGAGATTTACTCATTTTGAAAACTGAGAAGGTGGCTGCTTGAATGTGTTTGTCAGAGAATGTGGGGATATGTTCATTCAGTCTAGGTGGTAACTAAGTATAAGATGAAATACTGAGCGTGTAAAATGTCAACATTCAAATGCTTTATGTTAATTATGTTTTATTGTCTAGTATTGAGAATATGCTTTATAAATTATTTCTAGCGCTCTTGATTTTATGCCTGAAGATCATATTTGTTGTGTTTAGAATCAATTATGACTGTCACAGTCACTAGGAACATCTTAGATGTGACTCAGAGGTGTCACAATAATTAATAGGAATCCTATTATTTTAACTTGTATGAATTTGTGAAGTTTGGCTCATGACTTTTGAGCTCTGATGACTGGCAGAACTGCAGAAACTCTTGTGAAAAGTGGGTGGAATTCTTGGTCCCTTTCAAATTAGCAGCACAACTTCTGTTAATTAACTGCAAGAAGAAGCCTTAGAAATTGAGTTATATTTACCCTGCATTGTTTTAGAAAGCAGCTGCAGCAGTTTAAGATATTAATGCAACTCAGGCTATTTGCTACTGCCCTTTTGCTGGAATGTATTGCTCCCACAGCAGAATCAGAAAATGGAAGGTGATCATGTGCTTTGGCCACATCAGGGTGAAGTTGAGGAGTTTAGCTTAAACTGCTGCTGAAAGTTGTTTTAAAGTGAAGCTGCCAGACTTTGTGCTGAAGTGGATGAGGTGCAAGTACACGTTACATTCCACCAGCTCTCCTTTGGCAGCAATGATCTCCAGCAGAGGAATAGGACAGACATTTGAGGGTGGTAAGTTTTTAAACTATCTCAGCTAGAGCTACTAACCCTTGTCTGTTAACATGCTGAGATGACTGTTAATCAAACCTTTATTTGGATAAAACTGTGGTGAAACAAAGAACTAGATTACTCTTTATGCGTGACTGGAAAGCAGAGCATGTTTTTCGAAATGGAATGGTTCCAAAGTAAGAAAATTGCAGATTCTGACTTATTTTCAGTCCTCAAAATACTCTCCCTTTTAAATTGCAAGGGTCTGATGAAATTTGAGGAAATAGCTCCTTTACTAATCAAATGTTTTTCTTTCTATATTTTTTACTTTCAGCCGTAGTGTAAAAACTGCATGGGGTACAGCTTTGTTCCTTGGCATTGGCAAGAGCGAGCATTTTTGCAAGTGATGTGTAGTTTTCTCTCTAACTAAATGCCAATTCAGCAAACTAGTGTGTGTGCGCCAGCTTTGTACAATAAAATGTTTGGCAGATAAGTCAGACCTGGAATACAGAGCACCTGCACCAAGAAAGGTTATTTCTCATTATTGACAGTGATTTGAACCATGGCAATGATACGCCTCACATAGAAACCGATGCAAAGAGGCCCACGTTTTTAATTACCATGAAGTTAATAAAAGAAATGTTGCAGTGGTATTTTTTTAGTCTTATATTTGGATGAAATTCCTTTAGAAAATCCAAGTCATTTATGATAGTCAGTTTCTTGCTACAGTGTGTCTGAGCATGGGTCACTAACCTGCCTGTGTTTACAGGATGGGATTTAGACCAATGTTTTGAGGAACAATTAATTGCCTACTGATTGCAAGACTATTTTTTTCTTTTTTTTTTTTTTTCCCCCCCTCAGCTCTAGTCAAAAGATTGGTATGAAGAAACTAGGTCCTGTGAGGTCAGATAACACTGTTTAACGCTAAAACTCCTACTTACTGCCTTACATGGGATTTGGCAACCTTTCCCTTGATAACATCGGGCCAGGAGTCCAGTAAATCATGAGTGTTATCCACTAGATAAGATAATATGAATGTGATCAATTAAACTCAAGAAGAGTACTTCAGCAGCTAATAAATCCAGGTCCCTTACCAGCCAATTCAATTATGGTTGCTTGCTTGACATAAAGGTTTTATTTACAGAGGTAATCTTTAACATATACTGTTTATGTATTCATATAATCCAATTTATACTTTGTTTACTTTAAAATAATAGTATTTATTCATTTTAACCTTGAAGATATGTTGCATGAAAGTTGAAGAATTTAAGAAAAAAATATTAAGCCAGTTTACTGTACCTTTCATAGCAGGCCTACCTCCTCTGCTACTCCTTTGCTGAAATTCTTACATGAATTTTGCTTCCCTTTGCATGAATACTGCATTAATAATGAAAAAACTTTTTAACAGTTTTGTTTGTCTTTAAGGGAAAAAATGAGAACCTTTTGCTTTTATATGAAGTAAAGACAAAATCAAAGCTTGGAACATTTTGATGTGAGGTTAATTTATGTCAGTGGTTTGGATTATATATTTAGGTATTCTGTAATTGTTATATTACTTAAAAAGTTGCTTGTGTAAGGCTACTGCATTTGTTACAAGCTGACAACGTAGTATTTATCTTAGACTTTAAGGAGGAATAAGCCATTGTCATCTTTTCTCCCACTGAAATGCCTGCCTTTTCATTCTTCCCCTTCTCTTGCTTTAATAAACTTCTGTTGATTGCATGAACCTTTCACTTTGGTGCTTTGAAAGGGCATGTCCTCGGAGAAGCTCGAGGAGCAGCACTGGAGCCGCTTTCAGCCAGACATGTTGCTCTTATATCAGCCTAAGGCCAGAAAATGCATTCATTTTGCTTCTGCGTAGTCTCTTATGTTATTAATTCATTCTTTTCAGCTTCTGATTAATCTCTCCATTGTTTTCCTTCTCTTTTCTTTTTACATTCTTCTCCTTGCCCTCTATCCATCATGTTGATACACGGTTAACAGCATGTTGTCAGGGCAGAACTAGTGAAATATCCTGAAGAAGATAACCAACCTCAGAACACTTCCAACTGCCAGAGCAAAATCTGCTCAATGCAGTAGTTCAGGTATTGATGGAAAACTTGGGTGGTTTCTTTTTATAAACTGCATTGCTGTTACATGAAGGAACAAATGTTACAGCAAGTTCTATTGGAAAATTATGTTCTGTATATGTAAGCATTTGTAATACTCAATATATTAATTTGGAACTCTGTGTATAATTAATTACATGGTGTTTCTAATAACCAGGTAGTTCATAGAAACTTTGAAATACTTTGTGTTACTGTATTCAGTGCTGTGCATTCAAACTATTGCATAGCTGTCTCAGACGGAAATGGACAAAAATTAGTAATCTCATTTCCTTCTCCTCATATAGGAGAGACCATCAGTCTTATCAATAGGTTTGTAAATAGAATGGGTAGTACCTGTTGGATCTGTATTGGAATATAAATATTCATGGTATGCAGAGCTTCCTTTTATGTTAATTTAGTCTTTAGCCAGTATGCCTGTCAAAGGTTTTAATGAAACAGGTCTGTATTTGAAATTTTCTTTGAATTCTGTCCATATTTTCTGGTGAAGTGCTTGGAGTAAAGATGAAAACAAAAACTAGGTACAATTTCCAATTACAGTTTAAGCAGTTATTCTTAAAGAATGAATGGTACCATCTTTGCAAAAAATACTGTTTTATTATTTTCATACAAAAAAATTTTCATAGAAGTAGAATTCTCTTTACTGTTTGGCAAAAAAGTCATGCTCCATTTGTAGTGTTGTGAAAACCTACCAAGGCAATTGCTTTTGCTTAGTATGGATAAACTGATAGTTAAAATGAGAATTAGCACCTGATAAGACTTTCTATAGGGTAAGGACAAACCTTATTTTTGCTTCATGTTTCATAGTAAAATACCTGTTGAATGCTTGGCCAGCATGAAGATTGTATTTTCTGATTGTTACTGTGTTTTCTTTTGTGACAGAGGGTGGTGAAGGCAGATATTGTCAACTACAGTCAGGAGCCTGTGGCAAGATCCGTTAATCCTCCTAGAAGCTCCATGTGTGCAGTTCAGTGACCGTGCTGTTCTTCTCTGGTTTGATACCTTTGCAGTCCTCCTGCCTTGACACAGGCTCTGGGATTACCAGGAATTTTGTTTTAACAGTGACCAGTGCAACAGTGCAATTAGAGGTTTCGAAAAGGTGTTGCGCCGTTGTCCATTAAGAAGCATCAGGCAGTTTTCTGACTGACTGAAATTAAAATGTGATAACACATATTTTGAAAAATTAAGATCTATATTCTTTTAAATTATATTTAAATAAAACTGTAAAACGGTGTAACTGTTTATATGTTTCCTCCTGTCTGTTTGACTGATACCAGAATAAAAATGTATGAGGCAGCCCTGCATTCAAAATGCTTTTACAGACATCACCGGGGAAGGGTATTTTGCCAAAGCATTTTTAAAGCTTTTTTCTCCTGTGATCTGAACTAACACTCAGCAAAATGTAACTTGGAAAAACTATTGCTGGAATAATTTTAATCATGTAATATATTTTATCTAGGGATAATTTCTAAAGTGTTCCATTAATATATATACTTAGCATAAAATGTATAAATTGTATCCAGTGAGAAACAGTGCTTGAAATAAAGCTGTTATTATAAAAATAGTTACTTTTTTGAAGTCTCAAGTTGTCTCTATGGATGCTTTAAAAAATGCTATTGTTTTTGTGTATTTTTATTACTACAGCAGCATTACTTCTTACATTAATAGATGAGCTCATATGTCTTTATGAATATGGATGAATCTCAGTCAACAGTTTGGTCTGTAAATGTTGAGTGATATATTCAACATGCATTAGAAACTGTTGATAGATCAATTAGTATCAGTCACTTTAAATAACTAACAGAATGACTTTTCTCCTGGTACTCTTTTCTTTCTAATTCAGAGTAAATGACAAATAAAAAGCTGACTGCACTGTGATCTTTACACTTCTCCTCTGTTCCTTTTCTAGCAGTCTCTTAGGCATGCAGTTCTCTGCTGGCACATCTGAACAGAAAGTTAAGGACTGAAAAAAAAAATTAAGCCATCTCAATTCCAAACTAGAAATCTTTTCCTATTGAAACTCTAAATTGAGCTTTCTTATAACTACAAGAAAACATTTGGAGATTCAGAAAATTAATGAGTCTGTGAAGGAAGCTTATATATCACAAGTGAAAATTACGAGGTTCAAGTGAATGTTCCTCTTAAACTGTTGAAGCAAGTGCTTAATAATTGGAACAATTAGACAATTAGTGGTTTAATAAAATAGTTGAACTATTTTAACCATATTAAAAAAAGATTTCAGATGGCAAAAAAGTGTCATTTGTTAGCTTGCCACATAGTTTTATAACTCCATGATATGACTTATTTAATGTGTAATACTTTATCATTCAGATGTGGGAATTCTAAGAAAGAAGCTAAGATATTGAAAAATTATCCTACACTAAGGCAGGTGTGAATTTGCAGTAAATTATTTATCCTAGCATTGCAGTCTGTTCTTGCTCCTATTCCATGGAGTTCATGTCCCAATGCCTGGCTTTACCATATAGTTAACTGCAACTGAACTCTCTTCCACTACCACCCGATGGGAATTTCTCTTCAAAGAGGTTTTCTAAAGTAGTCGGTAAGTTCACAAATTCATGGCCTCCAAAACAGGTGGAAAGTGTTTTTGAACCCTCAGATTTTCTGGTGTGTTTGTGTCCTGAACGCTGCCCGTATGTTCAGCTCTTGACAAGAACAGCCCCCCGTCTGCGGAGCTGAGGTCAGCCTGGCTCAGGCAGATGGCTGGAGCTGTCTTTTGCTAGTCCATGTCAGTCAGCTTCATATTCCTGCTGCTCAAGTAACATGTAGCATGGTCTTCAAGACCCAACAGTGTTTAAAAACAGACCCTTAAAAACTTCTGTAATCTTACTTTTCAAAAGAAAATGCTTTTTCATAACTTGATATGCAGAGCCCGTTACTACCCTGAATAATAAAATATGTTGCATTTGGGATAATCCTGCAGTATGAAAGATATTAGACATGTCTCACTTCAAGCTGATTTATATATAGGTGGATTTTATGTCTCGGTCTCATCATGATTTTTTATTCTCAATGCCTGTTTTTCTGGCTTTGTCTTGTACATCCTTGTGTGTTTTATTCCCATTGATCTTTTCACCAACTGCTATGTTAAAGGCCTACGTTCTCTGAAGGTATTTTTGTTTACATTTCCACACTGCCTTTATTCTTCCTCCCTAACACACATGTATATTATTTACACTAACCAGGAATCTTGGGTCTTCCATGCCCCCAGCCCCTCCTTTTGCTGCCCCTCTTAACCTCCTCAGATTTTTTGTATTGTATACTGACTTCCACTCTCTCTGCTTTTCCCTACCCTTCCTGCCCCATTGAGATCCATTACCTGTCCACATTTTAATCCTTACAAATGAGCTTTACTCTTTTCACTCAGCCCTGGGGACCCCACGTCGAGCCTCCGGATTCCAGCTGCAGCCTAAATCCTTAGCTGTGGTAGCTGCCTTTGAAGTGCTGCAGCAGCTGTGGCTGAAGATTCAGCAGTGCCTTTGCCAGCACTATGGCCCAAGTTCCTCCAGGCTGAGCAGAAAGGTCAGAGATAATTCTGGGGGATTAAGCAATATGGAGAGACTGTTCTGCAGGGAAGGCAACAACTCTCTGGTGACTATAGGGATAGAAACAAATTTAGTTAGAGAAGAGTGTAGGGGAAGATAAGCGAGCCACTGCCCTGGGTCCGATCGCTTTCCCTAAGTAACGTCCTCCTACTGATTCACAGGATTCACGTATGGTGGAGTTGAATCA